TAACCTACATGGCAAAGCAGATCTCTCCTGCCTTCCCCACTACTCCCCTAGGCAGTGTATTTCAGTCAATCTGCCTGTTATCTTGGTGATGAGAAACCCGCGGGGATTACAATTGAGATGGAAATAAAAATGTACAAAATGATGTAAAAATAAACTGTTATAAAAAAAGAATGTTTTAACAATAAAAAAAAGATTTATGTTTACACATATATGTAAGTATACAATGACTTGTATACTTTAAGTGCGTGAATTGCATAATGTGTGAATTATATCTCAAGCTGTTTTAAAAAGTCTTAATTCCAAGACTTCATATGTAAAAACAAGATAAATACTATTCAAATTGGGGAAAGTGGCCAACAAAATACAAATAAAAATATTTTAAATAATTTACATTTAGTACAGATTGAATACAATTTAACACAAGTCTGTGAAGATTCATTAGCTGTACACAACAAAAATTCAAAGCTTTCAAGTCAAATATGAAATGTATAAACTATTCACTAGATTCAGGTATTCATATTTAACACATCCCTACTTCGAAAAACAATTAGCTAAGGGCTTACAAACTTAAAACTTTCAAACTAAACTTGTAGAGCCTCCCTGGTGGCACAGGGGTTAAAGACAGCACTATCAAGCTATCACCAGCCACTGCAGCATGAGTTTGATTCTCAGCCTGCAAGGCAGCTTACTTGTAAAGCACAGCAGTCCTCTCCTACTGCACTCCCCTCAGCAGAGTATTTCAGAAGATCTGCCTGTTCTGCTCTTCACTCTGTCTCTGGTTAATTCTATCACCCCTGCACCTCTGGCCTACACCCCAGTTCTTGTATGCATAAATAAATAAATCTTTAAAAAACAAAGCCGGCTCTCCCTGGTGGCGCAGCGGGTTAAAGCACAGCACTGAGAATCTAAAGCCGCTTCTGCAAGAGTTCGATTCCCACCTGCCCCAGAGGTGACCACATGGTGTGTACTTCGTCGATCTGCCTGTTCTGTTCCCCACTCTGTCTCTAGTGAAGGCTCTCACTGCCCCTGAGCCTCTGGCCTGTACCCAGGTTCTGTATGAACAAATAAATAAATCTTTAAAAAAAAAAAAAAAAAAAGAAAAAAGCCAAGAGCTCTCCCTGGTGGCGCAATGGGTTAAAGCACAGCACCAAGAAGCTAAAGCCACTTCAGCATGAGTTCGATCCCCCCCATGCCCCGGAGGTGACCCACACGGAGCAGCAGACCTCTCCTGACCCGCCCACTGCTCCCCTCAGCAGTGTAATTCAGTAGATCTGCCTGTTCTACTCCCCACTTTTTCTCTGGTGAATCCTCTCACCCACCATACCTCTGGCCTGTACCACAGTTCTGCAAGCATAAATAAATACATCTTAAAAAAAAACAAAAGCAAAAAACTTGCAGTCTTTTGAAAGCAAACAAAGAATTAAAGAAAAAAAACATGTTAAAATGGATGCTTACAACTGATAATGCATTCAAATTTTCTTCTTGTTTCATTACTTCAGTAGTTACTTCTGTATTGGAGAGCTGATGTTCAACAACAGCTATGCATTCTGTATCTGGGACATTCACAGTTATTTCAAGCTGTCAAAATGAAAAGTTTCATGATTTTACTTTGTCATACCATATATAGCAAAACAAAATAAACATGAGTAAGTACAATAAAATGTCAAACTGAAGAAATAATCTACATCCATGCATGACTAGAAAACTAAAATATAGTTAATTCTTAGCTGATAAACACTAACTGAGCAAAAAGCAAAACACTCAAGATTTTTAAGGGATCTGTGACTCTTAATAATAAGCAAACTTTCCAAAGTTAATAATCTCAGTGCGTGGCATTTCATTTTCCTTTATCACCACTCCCACATAATTTCTTTCAGCAGTTTGCTAACACAGAGTATTTTCTAAAACCCAGAGGGCTACAGGTACATGTACACAGAGTAGAATGAGACAAAAGAAAAAATAATTCACTCAAAGAAAAAGAAAGTTCCATGGACTCAAAAAAACAAACTACCTCTTCCATCGTTTCCTCAATCTGAGAAGGAACAGGTTCAGGAGATCTGAGACCAACAGGTACAAACACAGGAGCTTTGTTTAGTTCTTCTGGAGCAAGATGATAGCTTTCTTCTTCATAGTCAACTTCAAAATCTTCAGCATCATCTTCTTCTTCTTCCTGGGAAGCCCGAAGAGTCACTAACATGGCCTTTGAAGTTCTAGGTTCCTTCTTAAAAGTCTTACTCCGAATTCGTTTTGATCCACGCCCTTTGGTGACACTTGGCTTGATCTTTCGATGTATTCTCTTTTCACCACGATCTAGCTCACTCTCAGAGGCAGTAGTAACCCCAGACCTTCGCTCCAGAGTAATTTTAGGGTAATTTGATTCTTTTAACAGCTGTGAAGAGCTGGATGTTTAATCAAAATAATGTTGTTGATATGATATGCACGCACAAGGATAATTTTAATGAAAATCAAACTTTAAAGTAAAAATCCCAATTGAAGCAATTAAAACTCCTACCACCATTCTACTGAAAACTGATGCTCTGAGAAAAAGAAAGGAACTATTACTAATTTCTCATTTGGTTACTTCTTGGTGATCTACCTACAAAAATTTCATAATAAATTTTAATTCTTGACCATTTTTTCCCTTTCTATTCAAATGTAGAGGTGACAAAAGACTGCAAATTTTAAAAAGGGCAATAAATACAGAACATGGGACCAAAAATTGATAGTGGTTTACCCTATTTGGCAAATAGATTATATTAAAAAGAAAAAAGGAGAGGCAGAAACACCATCATTATCAGTGATATGTTTTTTAACTTAAGTCCCCTTCCATGTTTCCTGAAAACTAAAGATTAGTCTTCACTTGTGTTTTTAACGCTTAAGAATAAGCACCCAATTATTTAGGTAATACACACAACTTGTTGGTCTCTGGCTCATCGCTAATATACTCAATACCTTGAAATTTAAGTGTAAAAAGAAAAATCTTAAGGTATCAGGAAAAAAAAAAAAACCCTGGTGGCACAAGAGGTTAAGTCTCAGCACTATGAAGCTATCTGCAGCAGGAGTTCAATCCCTGGCCAGGAAGCTAACCTACATGGCAAAGCAGATCTCTCCTGCCTTACCCACTACTCCCCTAGGCAGTGTATTTCAGTCAATCTGCCTGTTATGCTCCCCACTCTGTCTCTGGTAAATCCTCTCACCCCCTGTACCTCTGACCTATACCCCAGTTCTTCTATGCATAAATAAATAAAATATATATATATTTTTTAATTTAAGATGATTGTGAAAAAGTAAATTTCAGCAAATAAAAAATCAAAAGTGGGGGGGAAAAGCAGACCTGCAATAAAAATTTATACTTCTGTTAACAAGCCATCTTTTTTTAAAAATTAAGACATATAACATTATATGAAGACATTAATTTGATACATTTATATATTGCCTATATATTGTCCTGATAAACAGGCACCTCACACTGCATAATATCTTTTTTTCCTACTGGTTGGAAAAATTCAGTTCTCTTCTTTTAGCTAGCTTAGGGATTATACTAAATATTGCTACTTTTTTAATTACACTATGCCTTAGAACACTACGGAGTAAGCCATCTTTTGACTCAGTGAATAAGTTCATGTAGGACACCCATAAAGAATATTTTTAATTTCCTATTCTGAAAGTTAAATAAAAATTTATTAAATAAAACTTTACCTTGTTAGTTTATTGAGAAACTGCTCTTCAACGACTGAAGACACAGTGTTATTCCCTACAGTTTTCTCTCCGGCACTCCCTGATGGGCCAATGTCTGTTTGAGCACCTCTTTTGGCCAAACCAGCCTCTGTGGAATCTACACAATCTCTTCTCGGTGAAACCTCCAAAGATGTCAGAAGTGTGGCCTTTTCCTTAAATTTAAGAAATAGCTAATGTTACCACATAACTAACTCTATGGTTTGCAGTTTGTCCTAAAGTTCTAAGCTCACAGACTCATAAAACATATGACACTGATACCGAAATTTTTACAATATTGGAGAGTCACTCAGTATTCATGATAAAGCAAAACTGTATTGTTTTAAATGTTCTCCTTCACGACTCTGATCAATTAGAGTCTGCTAATAAAAACTGGTTTGGGAAAGGGGAGGTTATTTATTTGTTTTTAAAAAAACTTACTTTTTGAAGAAGCTGAATGCCACAATCTCTATGCTTCAGTGAGTTATCTTCCGGCTTCTTTGCCTCGCTCTGATTGGCTCTGTCTTTCTCTAAACATGGTCCCTCTTTCTTACCATGTGCTTTTCCCAGATTTGGCTTAGCTTTTTGGGATTGCCTTCTTATCAAATGTGTAGGGCTAGGAGCATGCGTTCTATGTTCATGTCTAGAATGGAGCACAAATTACTCCTTGTTAATGTAATAACTGTCAAACAATTTTGGACACAAACCAAATCTATATTCAAAGAAATATATATATATATATATATATATATGCTATAAAACAAGTGTAAAATGAAACCACAAATACTGATATGAAAGGGAAAACATAAAAGTTCTTTACCATTTTCTGTACAGCCTACGGAAGTCTTAAAATAGTATTAATCTTTCTTTTACTTCTTTAATTTCACTACTTACTGATTCTGGTGTGTGATTTCAGGCTACTTTCAGTAAAACAATTAGATAAAATAAATGCAAAAGTTGAAGGTGAGTTTCACAATGTGACTATAAATGCTTTCAATTGGGCTCTGAAGCATGAATAAATTTTACACAATCCTCAAAACCTTAGCCCTTCTAGCCCAAGAGCAGACTTAAAGGCCATATCAATTTTCCTATCATATATCTATGAACTCATAGAAAAGGATTTATTGACAGCCAGTGTCATAAGGATTTCACCTGTATTTGCCAAATCAGAGAAAAATAAAGTTTTAAACATTTAGTAGCCATTATGTTGGGAAATATTGTAATAACTGATAAGAATCTAAATTCTGAATTAGAAAATATAAAAGCTAATATAAACCTAGATACTTATAAAAAATCATGAAATTCTTATAAGGACTGTATTATAGAGTAATCTTAAGTAATACTTCTAAGTTACCTAGAAGTCGTTACATTTCTAAATGTTCTAACCCATTAAGTTCTTCAGGCAGTAAAACCCAGGGAAGTTGACAGGAAGTTCTAATAAAGTTATGATGATGGCTAGTACATTTCAGTGTCAGTTAAAATTATTTGGGAAAACAAGTTATATCTAACATTAGTACAAGCTATTTATAGCAATTCTACAGAAGTATTTAAGAATAAAACACATACATAAGCTCAGTGTGCTGAGGGATAAGGGGGAGAAGAAAATGCTGGACACAAGAATAAGTTAACTTTAATATATCAGTTATGGGTCCTCCCAGAGCGCAACAGTTTTAAAACACTGCACTATGAAGCTATCCCACCCACTGCAGCACGAGTTCAATCCCTAGCCAGGGGGGTGACCCACACGGCATGGCAGACTTCTCCTGACCTGCCCGCTGTTCACCTCAGCAGTGTATTTCATCAATCTGCCTGTTCTGCTCCCTGCTCTGTCTCTTGTGAATCCTCTCACCCCCTGTACCTCTGAACTGCACCCCAGTTCTGTATGTATAAATAAATAAATCTTTTTAAAAATATCAGTATAATATAGCTAACAGATGGAATAAATTGCCTGAATCGGGAAGGTTTAAAAAAAAGGGGGGGGGGTGGTAGGATTTGTCCCGGAGCATCCATAGGGACAGTATGATTTACTAAATATAAAATGTTTACTTTTGTAACTTGTAACTCTACACAACCACTACATACACACATACATTCTCTCAACCAGACTAAAAAAGGGGGGGGGGGCGGGTATGATGAGGTATGGGTCTTCACATAGATAACTTAAGAGTTAGGTTTCTCTCTGCGACCTCCCTGGTGGCACAACGGGTTAGGATGCAGCACTGCAAGCTAGCTGTAGTCACTTCAGTACGAGTTTGATCCCCAACCCTGGAGGTGACCCACATGGCACAGCAGACCTCTCCTGACCTGCCCACTGCTCCCCTCAGGAATGCACTTCGTCGATCTACATTTCCTGCTTCATCAATCACGCTGTCTCTAGTGAAGCCTCTCACCACCCCTGTACCTCTGGCTTATAACCCAGTTCTGTATGAACAAATAAATAAATCTTAAAAAAAAAAAATAAGAGTTAGGTTTCTCTCATTAAAAATGCTAAGGATGAACTTGAAACATGTAGTTTTTTTAATTTGTTTTTTCAGGAATCTCTGGCCATGTAACTATACAAATTTGCTAGTCTGCAAGTCATAAGTCCTAAAAAAATAAGCTTAAGAGTCAAACTGACAGTGCTACTTTGAGCAAGTCACTAAAATCTTCTATATCTATAGTCCATTATAAATGATAGCCATTAGGAAAGGCTAACTGCAAAGGTCAATAATCTTTAGAAAAAGTTCACACAAAGTAGCAATCTTCACAGTGTTCCCACATAACCTGCCTCTCTCCTTGCTCAGTGTTTACTTTGGTGCATCTTATCTGCTGGCTTCACAATGGCTCCTTGGCAGTACATCAAAAATACTAGGCATGCTTACATACTTTTGAACACTTGTTACCTTGTCCCCTATATATACCTTTGACTTGACCCTTCACTTCTTTTAAGTCTTCTCTACAATGGTATTCTTTTAAGGAAGCATTTTCTGACTGCCATTAATTAAAAAGCAAATTCTACATGATACTTCCTATGCTCCCACTTGCTTTAATTTTCTAAAATGACTTAGTCATCTTATTTCCTTTGTTTATAAACTGTTTCCCAATTGGAAAAAAAAACAACCACAAGGACAAGATTATTTTTATCTGTCTTAATGATCTATATTGTTCCCATATTATTAGCACCTGCAACAATCCCTGGTACATAGGAAACACAAAAGTGTTTGCTGAATTATGAATTTAAGGTTGTTTTCAGTGGTAAAAGTCTATAAGACCAAAAAAAAATTAAATTATACCGGGACAATAAATCCATAAACAGCAATTAGGAAAAAGAAGCAGTCATACAAACAGGTTCATCTTTAATGTCTAGAGATTAATTTAATGTCTCAGAAAATGTCCTCCACAATTACTAGAGATGAGTTACTTGGTATAATCAATCATCAGTTTAGTACAATATGGCATTTGAAATATAAATATAAATAATGCATCTTAGTGAAAAATATTTCCTAGCACCTAACACTTTACTTAAACATCCAGTTTAAAGAAATGGCTTAATAATGACAAGGTAACTTGAAATTAAGGTAAAACTGGTCTCAGTCTTAAAACAAAAACAGTATCAAAATACAGACTTATGCACAAGGGACACAAAAAAGATACAGAAAAACAGAAAAGCTACCAATCTGAACCTCACCTAAATGTAAACAAGCTATTTAAAGTCAGCCAGGGGACCCCCTCGTGGTGCAAGGGGTTAAAGCGCAGCACTATGAAGCTACCTGAAGCTACTGCAGCAAGAGTTTGATCCCTGACCAGGAAGCTGGCCAACACTTGTAGCAGACCTCTCCTGTCTCACCTACTGCTCCCCTCAGCAGTGTTAGTAGATGCCTGTTCTGCTCCCACTCTATCTCTACTGAATTCTCTCACTCCCCACACCTCTGGACTGTACCCCAGTTCTTGTACGCATTAATAAATAAGTCTTCAAAAAAATTTTTTTCAAGATGTGAAGTTATATATAATTATGCAATCTAACCTTTATCTTTGAAAAGCTTTAAACTTTTCTGAAAAGCAAACTTACCTTGTCTTTTCATCCAGAATATCATTCATGCTGCATTCTGAAACTTTGGAGGATACAACTTCAATTTCAGTTCCAATTGGAGAATTTGCCTAAAATGACAAAACCATTTTTTAAATTTTATTTATATTTATTTTACATCATTCTTCATTACTGCACAATGTATGTTTTCTCCTGTCAAGTGTAGTCCCATAAAATTCCCACCAATTCACCCATGCACCATCACCATATAGTTCCTTATGCTCTTCCCTCCCTTATTTTGATCCCTTTTCCTCCCTCTCCCCTGCAGAATGCAAACCATTTTTTAACAACAAAACATATGTTCTAAAATATTGTTTTCTTAAATTAAGACTCAGACTTAATAAGCTGTATTTATGTTTGTTGCCCCAAACAAAATTGCCTAGCTTAGAGAGAGTGTTTCTAAGATTACTGCAGTAATTTGTTTACATAGTTTTTACACATGCTTAAAAAACTAAAATAACCATTGATTGTAAACTCCACTTCAAAAAGTTTAATTTTTTTTTAAAGAATCTTTTGGGAGATTCAACTATGGAGTATAGTCACTTTAAATCTAGATTTCTCATGTTAGAGAAAAGAGGGACAATAAAATAAGAACCAGTTAAAATGGGAGTTAAACTACTTAAATCTGTTTCATGAGAAACAGAGCCACCATTAAGAAACTGGATAAAACATCATTCACAAAAGCAGGATATTAGACAGCGGTTAAAAATGGAGCATTTCCAAACTAGTACAACCACTATGGAAAACTGTTTGGAGGTTCCTCAAACTGCTAAACATGGAGCTTCCCTACGACCCAGCAATCCCACTCCTAGGTATCTACCCAAAAGACACAAAAACACTGATTCAAAAAGATACTTGTACCCCCATGTTTATTGCTGCTTTATTTACAATTGGAAAAACATGGAAGCAGCCCAAATGCCCAAAAGTAGATGACTGGATTAGAAAGATGTGGTACATATATACAATGGAATATTACTCAGCAACCAAAAAAGAGAAACACATGTCTTTTGCAGCAACTTGGATGGAGCTGGAAAAGATCATGCTTAGTGAGATAAGCCAGAAAGAGAAAGAAAAATACCGGATGGTTTCACTCATAGCAGGAGTATAATGGACCAGGCGAGAAAATAACAAAAACAATGAACAACCATAGACCAGAGACATTCTGTGGGGGTGGAGTGGGGAATCGGATCAAAAACGGGGGGGTTGGAGGGAGGGAAATGCACGGGACTATGGTGGTGGCACAGGGGTGATTTGGTGATGGGAAACCTGTGGGGATTACAATGGAGATGAAAAAAAAAAATGTGCAAAATGATGTAAAAATAAACTTAAAAAAAAAAAAAATGGAGCATTTCCCTATCTGTTAGCACAGAGAGCTATGTACCATACAAATGACAATCCGTAAGTCAACAAATAACATATATACAAATAATTATTATTTAAATTTGCATAACTGCACACACAATTGCACTGAGATATATCTGATACATCAAAGGGTTTTCAGTGGTTTGTTCAGTGTTGTGATTTGGGTGGTAATTATCTAATTTTGGAGTGACTAGACTTTTCAAAGTAAACAGATTCCTATGTTAGGAAAAGAATAAATATGTTTCACTCCAAACAATTCCAGAGTGATAAAATGTGAAACAAACATAGACATATTAATAAGTATTCATATATACTAAGCCAAGTCTGGGCCATCATTTAATATTTTAGTATGCATAGAAAGGATCAATTTAATTTTAACTCACCACAGTCAATAATTTTTTTTCAGTTTCCTCTTTTTGTAGTATTATCTTTTCATCCCTAATTATGACTTTAGCTTCAGCTTTTTCTATTTGCTTTTGCCCTGCCCTTCTTATGTTTGGTCTGGGTCTCTGAAGTCGGCCCCTTATTGGAGGAGCAGTTTGGGTAACATTTCCTTTCTCTTCTTGTTGCAAAGTGTTTATATTTTCAGTCCTAGAAAGGGAGACAGAAAGAAAAAGAGGGCATATGACTATAAAAAGGTGCAAACTCAGTGGTGATTTGGTGATGGGAAACCCGTGGGGATTACAATTGAGATGAAAAAAAAATGTGCAAAATGATGTAAAAATAAACTTTTTAATAAAAAAAAAAAAGGTGCAAACTGCTAAAATACAAAAGTTTAAATCTCTTCTAATCAACTTTCCAGAAAAACATTTTTGTACCATTAAAGAAAATTTACTTTCTGAATATAAATATATCTTACTTCAAAAAAGAAAATGGTTACTTCAATTCTCAAAAGATAATGAAGTACAATAGTGACTAGGAACTAGAGGAAGAGAAAAATGGGAAATTACTGTTTAATGGGTAGAGTTCAGTGTGGGAAGAATGAAAAAGTTCTAGCAATAAGATGGTGACAATGATTGCAAAACAGTATGAATGTTCTTACTGCCACTGGACTGTACACTTAAAAAAAACAGCTAAAATGGTAACTATTATGTTGTAGGTATTTTACCAATTTTCAAAATGGCGACTATTTACCTAAAAATACTGCATTATATAAGATGTTAAGCCTCTAACTGTAAATGCTTATAAATAAAAACAATTCAAGTAGTCTTTATATTCACTTTTAAAATACATTAACTCAACTTAATAAAACTAAAATATTTGAAGAGATATATCTCTTTTATTTTAGATTTTTCAAAGAAGTATCACTGTTTACCCAACAGAAGCAACTAATTCTTTTTCCTGGGATTCTGTAGACTGGGATTCCTCTTTAAGTTCAAAAGAACTTGAAAGGTCCTTTTGAGTCTGTACAGATGGTGATATCACAGCCTCCTCCTGCAGAGGATCTGATTTGTCTTTTTCTGTTGATGTGATTAGAGAATTCACACCCTAGAAGGCACATAAAAGATATAATTAAATTGGAACTTCAATACACCATTACAAGAATAAATTGGGAGCTATAGAAGACAACAGGGAAACACCTATTAAAAATTTAAATCCCCAAAGTACACTTGTACAAATATAACATAAAGGTATTCAAATACATATCTAGAAAATTAGATTCAAGGATATTTATTACAGCAATATAACAGCCTCTCAATAAAAAGAAAAAATCAAAAATATGAAATCCATAAGTAGAAGTCTGAATAAATTATAATTTTTTACAATGCAACAGTACAGCACAGTCTAAAAGATACATTTATATATACTAATCAAAATACTACTATTAAGTGTAAAAATAAGAAGGCCAGCTATGATCATGTTTTTGTAAAACCATAAAAACACTTGCATATTTAAATTTATGTAAGTTGCTTATACACATAAAAGTATAAAACTATCACAAATTAACTTGGAAGGGAGAGAAGAAACATTATAAAAGATTTTCATGTTTTATATTTCTTTTTCTAATTTAGAACTTTTTCAGCTAGATTAAAAAATATCAATGAAAAGCCGGTATATGTTTAGAAGTCTCAACTTGTGACTATTAACATTTTACTTCAAAGTCTTTAATGCTATATCACACAATCTTAATCTGTTGTGGAATAAGTTAATGAAGTAAATAAAATATCTCTTTTACCACATATCAAGCTTTTAACTTTTCATTTCACCATCAAAACACAATGAAATAAAAGAATCATTTCCACTTTTCCTATGAAGAAAACTGGTTGGTTCATTTAGCTTTATGGTTACATAGCTAGTAAAGGTCAGAAATTGGAACTGGAATCTAAGCCTCTTAAATTCCTTTCCATAATATAGCCCTCATTAAAGATTGGAGATGCTTATATAAACCACATGGGAACAGACAGGGATATTAAATATAGCAACATTATTAGCCAGAGTAAAAATTATGAGAAAATATTAGTAAAATTTAATTGTAGGTGCTTTATTTTACTAACCTAACTAAAACAAAAACCTTCCATCTTAAAAGTCACTCACCTGCTGTGAAGGAAGAGAATTTGTGTTTTCACTGTTCTGTTGTGAAACAGCCTCCATTTTGTCAGTTTCCAATTTCTTTCCAGGTATACATTTTTCTGCTTCCATAGTTTCTCTCTTTAAAGCTGCTCTTGCCAAGTTTGGTTTTGGTTTTTTGAATCGACTTCTCACAAAAGGTACTGTTTTAACTTCAAATGGCTTCTGTTCTTGAGGAAGAGGTTTGCTTTAGGAACAAAGATTGTCAAGGTTTAGAATGAATCGAAGGAGAGCATCCCTGCAAGCCTAGGCAGTTAAATCTCAGTGGTATGATTTGAGTTTGATCCCCTCAGCAATGTATTTCAGTAGATCTCCAACTCTGTCCCTGGTGAATTCTTTCACCTCCAGCATCTCTGCCTAGACCCCACATATTGTATACATAAATAATACATAAATCTTTAAAAAAAAATTTTTGAAGAAGCAGTAAGAGCAGAATCCCAAGGCAACTCTATAGAATGGCAGTAAACATCTACCAGTCAGAACACCTGGTAAATCCTAAAAACTTGAGTAGAATAATCCAGGTATAAGGCGAGAAACGATATCGTCCTGGCATAAATATGAGTTTGTAACACTGTATTGCTTGAGAATATGTGCTACAGACAACTTTGGTAGTAATTTTCACAATCAACTATCAGAATGACCTCAATCCGCTCTTCCAGTCTTCCCAAAACTATTTAAAAAATCTCTAACACTCTGCTACAGATGTTAAGTTTTTCAAAACTTCACTTAAAGGCCCTCTCTCGTGGTACAACAGGTTAAAACGCAGCACTAAGAGACTTCAACACAAATTCGATCTGCAGCCAGGGAGTTGACCCACATGGCTGGCAGTCCTCTCCTGTCTCACCTGCTGCTCCTGCTCCCATCAGCAGTGTACTTTGTCAATCTGCCTATTCTGCTCCCTACACTGTCTCTGGTGAATCCTGTCATACCCCTGCACCTCTGAACCCTAGTACTGTGTGCATAAATAAAATATTTTTAAAAAAACAAAAAAACTTCACTTACAAGTACAACTTTATTATGCCTCCATGGGCTTTACCCTTTCCTTCAGGTTCTGTCACCAACACATATATTAAAATCTATGCTGAGGCCCTCTCGGGTGGAGCAGCGGGTTAAAAGCACAGTACTAAGAAGCTAAAGCCACTTCCCCATAAGTTCGATCCCCACCCCAGAGGTGACCACATAGTGTGGCAGACCTTTCTTGACCCGCCTGCTGCTCCCCTCAGCAGTGTACGTCATCAGTCAGCCTGTTCTGCTCCCCACTGTCTCCGATGAATCCTCTCACCACCCCTGCACTTCTGGCCTGTACCCAAGTTCTGTTTGCATAAATAAGTAAATCTTTAAAAAAAAAATCTATGCTGAATAAAATCTGCAAGTTTAATATAAAAAAAAATGGCAATGAGCCTACACACTTGTACCTTAAGTTAGTATCTGGACACTGCTGTGGAATATCCAGAAGCAGCATCCCTTGCTCTTCTACTTTATCAGGTTCAGAAGTCTGAAAAGAATGATGTGATGGACTTGATATTTCCTTTTCAACATTTACTTTTTCTTCTACAGCTGTATGTACCACAGGCAGTATTTCACTGCTAGTGTCCTAAAGGAATAATCACAGTAAATTAGCAAATATTAAAGAATCCTTAAGCATGTCATATATTCTAAACAAAAATCTATTATATTCTAAATACTTTTATTTTAAAAATCTAAAAGTCTGGTTCCTACGTTTTTAAATAAAATAAAGTTTAACTTCTAGAAGTTAACACATAGGATTCAGGAAACTGTTATACAGTACATTATGATTGCCTATCTAAATGCCATTATCTATCCAAAGTAAGACTAGGAAAAGCCTCAAAATATTATAATACCATGAACTTCAAATAAGTGGAAGATTTTAATAAAACTTTTTAAATGGAACAGGGCTCAAAATAAAAAATAATATGCAAACATAGTCCAAAAAAATAGTTCCAATGTGTGTTCTTATTATAGTTATCACAAATTTGCATATATCCCAATTTTCTATAGTTCTTTTATCTAAATAACTTCAAACTAACCCCTAAGAACAGTAATTTTTTTCACAATTAGAAAAAAATATATAGATTCCCCAAGATCCTGAGGCACAGAATTTAGGGTTGAAAAAAGACTCAAGTTTTTAAAAAATTTAAATGTTGTTAAACATGAAATTGTTTTCAAATGTTTACTCTGAAATAGTAGTCAAAAAAAAAAAAAGGACAGAAAAATACATACTTTGATATTTTGTGAGGGCACAGTGCTGCAGTCACCACTACTGGTCTGTATTAAATCTGTCTCAGTTTGTCTTGAGGTTTCCGTCTGCTCTGGCTCATTTTTCCTTAGAGAAATATCTATGTTTCCAGTTTTTTCCCAATCTGCCACCATTTCCTCAGTAGTACTGATCTCTTCAGATCTCCTTTGCCTCAAGGGAATTTCCCCTTCAGTTTCTTTCAAATATGCCTCTGTTGCCTCAGTGATAATCACCTCTCCTGGTACCTTCTCCATCAGAGAAATGCCTGTTTTTGCAGTTTCTGCCAAATGAATCTCCTTTTCCCCTAAGGTGCTGATCCCCACTAGTGCCTTCTCCTTTGGGGAGTTTTCTTTGCCAATCTCCTTCAATCCTGTCTCTATGTCACCTAGAGTGCTGACTTCCTCTGGGGCATTTTCTTGTAGAGATAGTGCTCCTTTTCCAGTTTCTTCCAAATCTGTCTTTTTTCCCTCACTGGCATCATTCACCTCTGGTATCTCCTTTCCTAAAGAAATATCTCTTCCAGTTTCTTTGAAATCTGTTTCCATTTCCACAGCAACCTCAATCATTTCTGGTATCTTCTTCCTGGGAGAGGTGTCACTTCTTTCAGTTTCCTTTAAATTTGACTCCATTTCTGTAACAGTATCGGTCTCCACTGGCACTTTCTCCCTTGTTGAGGTTTCTAATTTTTCAGTTTCTATTAAAGATATTGTCACTTCCTGAGAGGCAAGTGTCTCCTCTGGCACTTCTCCCCTACATAAGATATCCTTTCTTCCAATTCCTTTTCCTATATTTGGCTTTGGCTTTTGAAATCGACTCTTTAGAATTGGAACATGCTTGAGTTTATTTGCATTATTATCCTCTTGAATACTATAAAAATTAAACACAATCAGACAAGGAATTAAAGCAATAATGGTTTAGAAAGCAATACCAAAACACCATGAACTCTCAAAAAAAAATTTTTTTTAATTAAAGAAAATTCCATTTCTTGAAATTATAGTAACTTTTAAAAATAGCCTACATAGATAAATATATAAAGAGACACCTATGAATATAGTCACTTTCTAATTTTCACCCACATTATCCTTCAAAAATACTGAGGAACATCTCTAGTCCTGGCGAAGCAGACCTCTTCTGACCTACCCGCTGCTCCCCTCAATAGTGTATTTCATCAATCTGCCTGTTCTGTTCCCCACTCTCTCTGTGGTAAAACCTCTCACCGCCCCTGCACCTCTGGCCTGTACCCCAGTTCTGTACGCATAAATAAATAAAAATCTAAAAAAAAAATTTTGCTGTTAAAAAAAAGATAATTAACCACTCAATTGTTTGTTGGAACTTATGTAGGTCATAACCTACTTTTCTTTGCTGAAACAACTATTTTTTTATAATACAATTTATAAAAAAAACAAGGCAGATCATTAAGAATAATACTGCTTCTTCAAATGTATTTATTTATATAACTGAGAAGCTTTTATACTTATCATTAACTTTAGTAATGATAACATTCAATGTGAAATGTCAACTAATAAGGGAAATTTAATTTATTAAGTTTTACCCGGAATGGATTTTATTTTCTGACTTAAGATACTTTACATGTCTATTTAGAAACACCTAGGTTTTGTGAGGTTCCTGTACTAGCAATACTAGATAAACTATCACAGTCTTAAACACATAATACTTTCAGCAAAGGTTTATTAATAATTTCATTGCTTTAGTTTAAGATTTTAAGCTACAAATATGTAATGCTATGATTATACTCTATATGTTCGATTATCTCTAAGTAATGGTAAATTTAAAATTCATGGATTTCATGAACAGTAAGTCAAAAATAATTTTAAGTACCTATTACATGCCAGGAAAGTGGCTGCCAGGAACAACATATGGCTCATATCAGCTGCATAACTGAAGGGTATAGTATCTGAGATTAGAAATTAGATATGCGGCCCTCCTTGGTAGCGCAGCAGGTGAAAGCACAGCACTAAGAAGCTAAAGCCACTTCCGCATGAGTTCAATTCCCGCCTATCCCAGAGGTGACCACATGGCATGGCAGACTTCTCCTGACCCGCCTGCTGCTCCCCTCAGCAGTGTACTTCATCAATCTGCCTATTCTGCTCCCCACTCTGTCTCTGGTGAAGCCTCTCACTGCCCCTGAGCCTCTGGCCTGTAGCCCACTTCTGTACACATAAATAAATAAATCTTTGAAAAAAAAAAAAAGAAATTAGGTATGAATTTGTACTAGTTATTCCCAACTTAAAAATATAACAGATCCACAACACAACTCTCTCCTCGGATCATAGAATTTAAGAAGAAAATAAAAATGAATCACAACTGGAAAAGGTAGAAAAGAAGGTATTAAGCATAAAATCTGCTCCAAAGGTCACAGGTATTTTTCTATAATAAAGTTTAACAATCTGTAAAATATTTATAAGCCTCCAGAAGATAAATTACTATAAACATCAAGATATGTATATGAAGTAGATGGAATGTAAAATTAACTTAGAAGAATAAGGTTCAAAAACACATTCACTATTTTATCTCATCAAGTAGAATATTACTGCATTCTTCATTTCAGAGTTTGCTATTACTACTTTTTTTAATATAGCACCTTGAACAGTTCAAAGTGTTTGAAAGGGAAAATATAAATAAGTATATGATGTGATAAAAAACAGAAGAGAGAAGGGAGGTAGCTAAGAAGCAAAAGAAAAACAGAAATGAGGATTAAAGGAATTTTTTCTTTCTTCTAATAAATATCTTCAAAATATTGATAATAAAGCAAACCTAGGTTTCACTATCAGCTTAGCTACAGGAATATAGCTATAAGGATAGGCCAGACAAATGTAAAGACTGACAAAATATCAGTAATTTTTGGAACTAGATAGAAAGTGATGTGAATCCATTATTCTGTCAGCTCTGCTTACAGCAACATTGGAAATTCCTAAAAGGATTAAAAAACAAAACAAAACAAACATACTAGTAAGTCTTGTAAATCTGATTTGTACTTTCCAGAAGCAAATTAACAAATATAAAGGACTTTGGCTATGAAAAGTGATTTTACAGGGGCTTTCTTGGTGACAAAGGGGTTAAACTCTCAGTGCTATCAAGCTTTTGCCAGCCACTGCGGCATGAGGTCAATCCCTGGCCAGGTTGCTGACCCAAATGGTGTAGAAGACCTTTCCTGTGTCACCTGCTGGTCCCATCAGCAGTTTACTTCAGTAGATCTGCCTGTTCTGGTCCCCACTCTTGTCTGGTGAATCCTCTGACCTCCCACACTTCTGGTCTATGCCTCAATTCTTGTATGCATAAATAAATACATTTTTTAAAAATAAAGACAATGAATCAACCTAATTTGCTTT